TTTAATATATTTTACAACCTGTATCTCCAGTAAAATACAATCATCATTTAATATATTTTACATAATAATGTTTCATCAATTATCATGATTTGATTAGTATTGTTGACATTAATAATGTTATATTTGGAGATGGGGGCAGATATTCTGATTTTTCTTCTTCTGCTACCCTTCATTTTATTTTAATCCAATTCATTTTAATATATATGTGTATGTGTTTTTTTCTTTTTTCTCTCATTTTGATTTATGTTTTAATGTATTTTGTTTTTGTTTAAATGAAAAGAATAAAGTGAATTAATGTATTTGACATTATTAATGTGTCTTTGTTAGCCTGCAGGTGGATGTAAACAACAGCAGTTAGCTGTAAATATTAGCAGCTCTGTCTACATGAAGACTACTTTAGCTGTTARCATTAGCCTGATAGCTCCAGTTGTTAGCATTAGCCTGATAGCTCCAGCTGTTAGCATTARCCTGWTAGCTCCAGTTGTTAGCATTAGCCTGTTAGCTCCAGTTGTTAGCAACAGCCTAGCTCATCACGTGTGAGTCCACCTGAACGTCACGTGTCTAAGCCTCACGGTACCGCCCGACACTCTCAGCTGGACCCGGTTCCGAAGCTCACCTGTAAAACGGGCCACGTGTTTAGAACCGTCCGAACTCCGTCTGTAAATAGTTGACGTGATGCAGTGGAGGCCGCCATGTTGGATCAGACCGGATGAAGGAGTCACGTGATCAGACCGAAGCTGTGGGTTTAGGTTTAATGTAAAATATTTGGATTAAAAAATACGTTTTTTAATTTGATTTTCTGTTTCAGAAAAAGATCTGATCCAAATCCTTCAGGATGATTTTTCATCATTTATATTTACTTTGATCACTTTTAGTTTTTTAACTCAACTAATGTCTTTGAACCCCCTCATTAAAAATGTTACCAGGACCACCTTCTCCCACCTGCTTAATATCACTAAAATGAGAAAACATGTAGGTTTATTGGCCAAGTATGTTAACACATCAGCTGTTTGTGTCTCTCTAGTATTAACAATACTTTACATACAATTTGCACATAGTACACAATATACAGAAAGATACACATTAAACTTGTAATAATATAGCAAATATATAACAAAGAGCAAAAATGAAGAGAAGAAGTGCAGCAGGTTCAGGGAGGAGGAGTCTGTGGGTCAGGGAGGAGTCTGTGGTTCAGGGAGGAGGAGTCTGTGGGTCAGGGAGGAGGAGTCTGTGGGTCAGGGAGGGTTTGTGGGTCAGGGAGGAGGAGTCTGTGGTTCAGGGAGGAGGAGTCTGTGGTTCAGGGAGGAGGAGTCTGTGGTTCAGGGTGGAGGAGTCTGTGGTTCAGGGAGGAGGAGTCTGTGGTTCAGGGAGGAGGAGTCTGTGGGTCAGGGAGGAGGAAGGAGATGTATGAACTTTTATTTAAGATGTAATTTTTTATTTCAAAGATCTTCTGTTTCACAGCTGAAACATAAATTCTACTGTTCAGAAGGTAAAACTGATGTAAAATCTCAGTCTGATTCTGAAGGTAAATTAAATCTCTGACAGTGATCATCACACAGTGTGGCTCTGATTCCTCACATCTGTGTCGCAGCTTCCTGTCTCTAAAATGAGCGCAGCATGGGTCAGAGCTGTGAGGCACATTTTCATGTCACGTTTGGATTTTATAAATCACAACCTTGGTGTAAAAAGTGGCGTACACAAGTTTGTGCAACAAAAGCTTTATAAATCTGAGCCCAGGGCCCTCACGTATAAACAGTGTGTACACATAAAAAAGTTGTGTTCTACGCCCACGTTGTGATGTAGCAAAACCAACATTGTGTGAACGTTTCACCTGCTGTGAGAATGTGCAGCAGACACACAAAGTTTTTCAGTCGACAGTTTTAACTCACAAAGTCCTGAATCTGAGCTGAACCCACAGAAATATGACTCTGTTGTGTTTTCT